CTCCCCCCCTCTTCCTTCTTCACACCTCCCTCCCTCCCCACTTCTTCCCTTTTTCCCCAGTGCTGGGACTAAGCACAAGCCTTGACCTCAAGCTCTCTCCCAACTCCCTTATTTCTTTTAATCCTGACTGACAACCCATGAGAAAGAGATCATCCTTTCTGAGGCTCAAAGTCTGGTCTAGCATAAAATAGACAAGGTCGTTGTTGACCACAGTCACCCTGCCATGCTGTGGAGCATTAGAATGCATCTCTCCTACCTAATGGGATTTCAGACTCTATTGTCCACCCTCTCCCCTGCCAGTGTCCATTTAGCTTCTGGTAACCTTCTGGTAATTCTCTGCTCTTCTCTGAGATCAGCACTTTTAGATTTGAGTAAGAAGTTGTGAAGTTTGTGTTCCTGTGTCTGACTGATTTCAGTTAATATACTATCCTCCACTTCCTCCATGCTGTAAATGACAGGATGTCATCTTTTCATGACTGAGTTTTTTCTACGGACACTTGTTGATTCTACATCTTGGTTGTTGTTAATAGTTCTGCTGTACATGCAGGCTTATTGCTATCACTTTGACGTACTGACTGTTTCTTTGGTTTAGATTCTGAGTAGTGGAACAGCTGAATTACAGGGTAGATCTATTTTTAGTCTTTTTTTTCTTTTTCTTTTTGACTTTTTGAACCAGAGTCTCCCTGTAACCCCAGCTTGCCTGGAACTCACTATGTAGACCAAGCTACCAAAGATCCACCTGCCTCTACCTCCAGAGTGCTGGGATTAAAGTCATGTGCCACCACACCTGGCCATTTTTAGTCTTTTAAGGAATCTACTCTAGTCTCCATAACGGCTGCTCATCCCTCCTATTGCATTGTGACTTCCTCCCTTCCTTCTGTACAGACATACATGTAGGGGCATGTGGCATGATTACTCATGAATCCACATGGAGAGGCTGATGTCAGGTGACCCCCTCTATTGCTCTCCACCTTATTTAAACAACGAGATTAGGTCTGGAGAGATGCTCAGTGGTTTAAGAGCACTGGCTGCTCTTGCAGAGGACTTGGGTTCAGTTCCCAGCACCCACAGGGCGGCTAACAGCCATCTGTAACTCCAGTTCCAGAGGATCCGATGCCCTCTTCTGGGCTTTGCAGTCCTCGCAGGACATAGGTGCACTTACACACATGCAGACAAAACACTCATACATCTAAATAAAAATAAAGAATGAAAGTACTTTAATTAATTAATTAATTAATATATATGTATTTACGTATTTGTGTGTGCATGCCACAGCATATATGTGAAAGTCAGAGAACAACTTTCAGGAGTTGATTCTCTCCTTCCACCATGGAGGGTCCTGGGGGTTGAACTCAGGCTTGGTAACAATCACCTTTATCCACTGAACCATCTTGGCAGCCCCCACAGTATCATTTGAAACATTGTTTTGCACCAGAGACCCACTGATTAGGCTGGAGGAGCTGGCCAGCAAGCCCCAGGGACCCACTGGTTCTGCCTCCCTAGGACTGGGATTTCAGGTGTGTACCACCAGGCCCATCTTTTTATGTGGGTGCTGGGAATCAAATGCATGTTTGTACAACAAACACTCTAGTGACTGAGCCCTCTCCCCAGCCCTGATAGATAAACTCCTTACCACCCCATTTGTGCTGATGGATGGAGTTTCTCTGGCTTACCTTTTATACTGAACATGTAGGTCTCAGAGTTTAGTTCGTGGCGTACGGGCAGGTTCAGTGCCTAGAATCCACCCCATGTGGGCTTGGTGACTGGTGACTACACTGGAACATTCCATGAGAGTGGACACAGCTCTCCCGCTGTCCTCACCAACACTGGTTGTTTGCTTTCTTTCCTTTTCCTTTGACAAAAAAATTTATTTATTTATTTATTTATATTTTATGTGTATGAGTGCGTTGACTGCATGTATGTAAGTGCACCCATGTCATGCAATGCCTACAGAGGCCAGAAGAAAGCGTCAGATTCTTGGAACTGGAGTTGTGGTTATTAGCTGCCATGTGGGTGCTGAGAACTGAAGCTGGGTCCTCTTTAAGAGCAGCCAGTGCTCTAATCACTGAGCATCTCTCCAGCTTAGTCATTTGTTTTCTTGATGATAGTTATGTGACTGGGGTCAGGTGGAACCTCAGTGTAGTTTTGATTTTAATTTCTACAATGAATTCAAAAAAATGTCCAGAAATAGGGAGGGGAGACGGAACAGTTAGAAAAGTACTTGTCATGTGAGCATGAGAACTACAGTTAGATTCCCCAGAACATATATAAAAAAGTCAGACTAGCCAGGCATGGTGGCTCACACCTTTAATCCCAGCACTCAGGAGACAGAGGCAGGTGGATCTCTGTGAGTTCAAGGCCAACCTGGTCTATGTAGTGAGTTCCAGGACAGCTGGGGCTACAGGGAGACCCTGTCTCAAAAAGACCAAAAAAAAAAAAAAGTCAGGCTTGGTGGCATGGTTTTAATCCCAGGGCTGGGGAGATGGGTGGATCTCTAGAGCTCCCTGGCTAGCCAGTGCAGCCAACATGGGGAGGTTCTCAGGGAGAGACCCTGGCTCAAAAAATATGGTGGAGGGCCAGGTGTGGTGATGCAATGCCTTTGATCCCAGCACTCAGGAGGCAGAGGCAGGTAGATGTCTGTGAACTAGAGGCCAACCTGGGCTATATAGTGAGTTCCAGGCTAGCCAGAGATGTGGGGAGACCCTGTCTCAAACACTTAAAATAAAACTAAGGCGGAGAGTGACTGAGGAGAAGCCACATAAAAGAAAACACCTAGGAATAAATCCAAGGACAGATGAAAAGTCCCTATAAGGAAATCTTTAAAACACCGAAGAAAGAAAACTGAAGATGTTAAAATATGAAAAGGCCTCCCATGCTCACGGATGCAAAGAGTGAAAACGGCTGGACAGCCAGTAATGCATTTTGCATGAACAAATACCCCAAGACACAGCCGCCCTGGTTACTGAGCTCAGCAGAACCGCAGGAAAGTGTTAGCCCACACTCACCGCTCTGTCCATAGTTTCATCTTTGCTTTTGGCCTCTGGGATTTTCCCATATTTTTATGCAAGCTCAGCAATTAGAAAGAGAACTTTTATTTTATTTTTTGTGGATGTCTGCATTTGTACCAGTGTGCTTGTGGAGGTCAGAACACAATCTTCAGGAGTCAATTCTCTCCTACCATGTGGGGCTTGGGGATCAGACTCATGCCATCAGACTTGGCAGAAAGCCCCTTTATCTACCGAGCCATCTCGCTGGCCCCTCAGCAATTTTTCTTTCTTTGCACATCTAGGAGTTTTGTAAGGGGAAGCTTTCTTGGTTATGTAGGTTCCTCTGTGGGCAGAAATGGATTTTGTTTCCTCTACTGTCCTATCTAGTCTGTTATCTGCCATATTGGCAGGGGTGTGTCTTATCTATTAAAAAACGTTCCTTTCCTTTTTATTTTTAATTAAGAATAATTTATGTGTATGAGTGTTTGCCTGCATGTGTGTAAGTGCACCTGTGTCATGCAATGTCCATGGAGGCCAAAGAGGGCATTGGATGCCCTGGAACTGGAGTTCCAGATAGTTGTGAGCTGCCATGTGGGTGCTGGGAACTGAATCCGGTCCTATACAAGAGCAGCTTAACCACTCCAGCCTCAAGAACATTCCTTTCTTTACAAAGTCATACTGATTTCTCAACAAACCTATGAGGTAGTGTATTTGTTACTTGTCTCATTGCTGTGACAAAATGCCTGACACAGCAACTCAAGAGGAAGGGTTTGGGGGCTACAGAGATGCCTCAGCAGCTAAGAGCACTGGCTGCTCTCACAGAGGCCCTGTGTTCAATTCCCAGCACCCACATGGCAGCTAACAACTGTCTGTAACTCCAGTTCCAGGGGATCTGACCCCATCTTCTGACTCCTCGGGCATTGCACGTGTGCACTTATACACATGCAGGCAATACATGCATACACATAAAAATAATAAAATTTTAAAAGGGGAAGGGTTTATCTTGGCTCATAAATCAAGCCTATCATGGTGGGAAGTTATGGTGGTCAGAGTGTGTGGCAGCTGTGCTCATTGCCTGTACAGTCAAGAAGCAGAGAGAGATGCATGCTGGTGGTCAGCTGGCTTCCTCCTTGCTCATTCAGCCAAGGACCCCAGCCCAGGGCTGGTGCCACCCACATTCAGGGTTGGTCTTCCCACCTCAGTTAACCCAGTCTAGAAACTCCCTCTCAGACACGCCCAGAGGTTCGTTTCCATGGTGATCTTAAGTTCCATCTAGTTGACAATCAAGATTAAATATCACAGTTCGAAATGATTTCTTCTGTATGAGAACAACTGATAACTCAGTGCAGCCGAGGCCCCAGGGAGGGGCTCCTTGGAACACTTTCTCAGGACTGCAGGGGTCACCCTCCTGGAAGGAGACTAGTTTGCTTCTTCCCTCGCTGGGGTTTCCAGCCTGGGCTGAGCTTGTAAGAGGGAAGGTGTGATCCCCAGATGCAGGCTCATCCGTCCTTTTTCTCCTGGCTCCAGGTATAACGTCGAGGTCAAGCATATTAAAATTATGACGTCAGAAGGGCTGTATCGGATCACAGACAAGAAGGCTTTCCGGGGGCTTCCGGTAAGGGCCACTGTCCCCCTCCCCAGCACAGCCTCTCAGAACCCAGACAGCTACTGCACCCATATTGTAGCATCCTCCTCCATATTCAAAGTGACCCTTCCTAGGGAGCAACTAACCTGGGACTCACTGTGGTCAAAAACTTTATTTATTTATTTATTTATTACTTATTTATTTATTTATTAATTATGTATATGAGCATATTGCCTATATATGCACTACATTTGTGCAAATGCCTGTGGAGGTCAGAAGAAGGTGTCAAATCCCCTGGAACTGGAGTTACAGATGGCTGTTATCTGCCATGTGGGTTCTGGGAACTGAACCCAGGTCCTCTGCAAGAGCAGCCAGTATTCTTAACCACTGAGCCATCTCTCCAGCCCTGAACTCATTATCTTAATGACCAACAATGTGGGTAATGATAATTATGATATATAATAGTGTTGGGTATTTATAGAATATTTATTGATGTCAAACATGTTGGGCTGGGGAGTTCAGATCCTCAGAACCCATATGAAAGCTGGGTGTGGTGGTACACACCTGTAACCCTAGACCAGTGGGTCCCTGGAACTTGCTGCATAGCCAGTCTAGAAAACTGGTGAGCTCCAGGTTCAACGAGAAACTCTGCCTCAAAATATTAGGTCCTTAGTGATAGAGGGACATCAGAAGTCAACTTCTGACTTCCATACGCCTGCACAAGTGCACACACATGAACATGTATGCCCCTCCCAAACATGTTGTAGATGAGCCCAGTCTTAAGAGTCCTTTCTATCCACTTTGTATCTTTCCATTTTGCAGGTAGATAAAACTTTCCAGTTCACAATATCAGAGCCCATATTTTCTCAGATTTACGAACAGCTCCACCTGACCTGTATGACTGCCTATTTTGCAGAGAATTTATGAGTGTTTTACCTGTTGTTTGATGTCCTGTAATTTTTTTTGAGACAGAGTCTCCCTTAGCCCCAGCTGGCCTGGAACGCACTATGTAGACCAGGCTGGCCTTGAACTCACAGAGATCCACCTGCCTCTGCCTCCCGAGTGCTGGGATTAAAGGTGTGTGCTACCATACCTGGCTGTCTTGTAATCTGTAATTTTCCTTTAGGCATTTAAAACTAATTGGTGTATTTAAGGCATGTGGGTCTTACCTATAACCAGTGGATCTTTGAAGAGCTGAGGATACCCCGAAAGAAAATTCATAACTTAAAAAAATTACATTATTTATTTATTTACTTATTTATTTTGTGTATGTGTGCATACATGTGCCACGGCACCCATGTGGCAGTCACCCATATAGGAGTCAGTTCTAGCCTTCCTCCACATGTGTCCCAGGAATCAGACTCAGGTCGTCAGGCTTGGCAGCAAGCACATTTATGCACTGAGCCATCTTCTTGGTTCCCCAGAATTTATAATTTTGTTCTAATCTGCTGGGATTGTGGTTGTGCCCCACCATGCCTGACTTAAAAATATCTATAAAAATTACTGTATTTTTAGTTTTTGTGTGTGTATGTACATGTCCTCTGATGTGTGTGCATGCATGTGTGTGTGTGTGTGTGTGTGTGTGTGTGTGTGTGTACAACTTTGTAGAGTTGGTTCTCTCTTTCCACCTTTACATGGGCTCAGGGGATTGAACTCAGGTCATCAGACTTGGCAGCAAGGACCTTTACCCACTGAGCCATCTCACCAGCCCCCAGTCTTTTACAATATTGGCGGTTTTCTGAGTGGAGCTTTATTTTTGAGAGGACATTTTCCCCCTGCGGACTGTCCTTTCAACTTCCCTGATGATCTAGTCATAATCCTCACCAGCTTAAATGTGTGTGTGAGAAACATACACAGGCCCAACAAATTGGAGACTTGAAATAAAATTTGAGGCAAGATCTAAAATATTAATATCAGCTGTCACTCATGAAACTGAATTTATGGTCATCTTGTCTCTACCATGGGACCCTGGAGAGAACCAATTCCTTGTTGCCATTTTCTGACTTCCACAAGGGTGACATGGTACATGTGTACACACGCAAATAAGTAAATAGTGTAAAACGGGAGAATTACAGACAACCAGTCCTCAAGGGCGCTTGGGAGGATTTGGCAATGTTTGGTAGTGATGACATGATAAACTAGAAAGTTGTGGTCCTTGATCCTGACAGGATGGCCTTGTGCTTGGTGAGCTTGTTACTGGGCAAATTCAACATGAAGTAAATGGATTGTCTCTTTGATGAACTGGTCTCAGCCTGGGGTCTAGTAGTGACTTTTCTCATTGCTGTGACACAATACCTGACACTGCGTAAGGGAGGAAGGGTTTACTCTGGGTCATGGATGGAGGGCCTCTGGCAGGAGCCTGGGGTGCTGGTTACCTGCATTCACAGTCAGGAGGCAGAGAGACACTGGGGCTCAGCTCGCTGTCACTGTCTCTTTTTCAATGAGTCCAGGACTCCAGCCCAGGGATGGTGCCGCCCACATTCGGGGTGGATTTCCCACCTGGGTCAGGTCAATCTCGATAACCCCTCTCAGAGGTGTGTGCCTTAGGTGATTCTAGATACTGTCAGGTTGACTGAGTATTAACCAGCCCCGGGTCTCTTCCCTATTCCAGTAAAGGAAGGCGTTCTCTTAACAGGTTCCGTCAAGGAGCCATCTCCCATGGTGACATGATAAACTAGAAAGAGGGGGTTCATAACGAGGGTGCCCAGCTCTGCTCCCCTGGGTCTGGCCCACTGTGATCACAACAGGCATGCACTGCTTTTCCAGGAACTGGTGGAGTTTTATCAGCACAATTCCCTCAAAGACTGCTTCAAATCGCTGGATACCACCTTGCAGTTCTCCTACAAAGAACCTGAGAGGAGAACCATCAGCAAGCCGCCGGGTAGGAGCCAACTAGGGAGCAGGGCTAAGCCTCCGCGTCTTCTCTCCTTGGAGGGCAAGTTAGGGACTCCACGGCTTCTCCTTTCCTTTGTTCCTTTTTCTTCCTCTCTGATATGTCATCTGTCTGATACCACATATGTGTACATCTATGTGTACATGTATGTGTCTATCATCCATGTATGTGTACATGCATGTACCTCTCTGTCATCTGTCATCTATGTATGTGTGCATGTATGTATCTATCATCTAACAATCATCTATGCATCTCTTCTAAGTATGTATCTTTCTATCATCACAAATACATAGAGAACTTTGTACATAAAAAACAATGATTGAAAAATGTTCTTGCCAATGATCAATCTATCTAACATCTACCTAACATCTCTATCTATCTATCTATCTATCATCTATCATCTATCTATATCTATCATCTATCTATCTATCTATCTATCTATCTCTCTATCTATCTATCATCTATTATCATCATCTATCTATCTATCATCTATCTATCATCTATTTATCTATCAATCAATCTATCCATCTATCATTCATCCATTTATCAATCATCTATCTGTCTGTCTATCATCTATCTATATCTATCATCTAATCTATCTATGATCTATCTATCTATCTATCTATCATCTATCTATCATGTTCTATCTATGATCTATCTATGATCTATCTATCTATCTATCTATCTATCTATCATCTATCATCATCTACCTATCATCCATGTACATATATATATCATGTATCAGTCATCTATCTGTTGTCTATCATCTGTCTACCTATGTATCTAACATCTATTTATGTTAACTATGTATCTATTAATTTATCATCTATATAACATCTATCACCTATGTATAATCTATCAATCATCTGTCATCTATCTATCAATAATCTTTCATCTGCCTATCTATATACTTATTATCTATCACCTATTTAACATCTATGTATTGATAATTCATCTATAATCTATCAATCATCTCTCAATCATCTATCTCTCATCTGTATGTATCTTCTATCTAGCTGTCTGTCTGTCTATCTACCATGTGTGTGAGGTCATGTGCCCACCAAGACGTGCATGTACAGGTCAGAGGGCAAGTTTCAGGACTCAGCTCTCTCCTGCTTTGCTGAGCCAGGGTCTCTGTTGTTTCTGGTGCTGCGCTGTGTACTCCTGACTCACCTGCAAGATTCTGGGTGATTCTCCTGTTTCTGCCTCCCATCTGGATTACAGATGTACGCTACCACGTCTGGCTTTTTTTTTTCCTCATGGGTTCCAGGGATTAGACTCAAGCTGTCAGACTTGCATAGAAAATACTTCTACTTGCTGAGCCATCTCCGTGGTCCAAGACTTTTTATATGTAGTCACCTCTCTCTCTCTCTCTCTCTCTCTCTCTCTCTCTCTCTCTCTCTGAATCTGGGGTTAGGTAAATATACAGGTTAAGGATTCACAGATACATGGAGAAGTTTGTCCATAGAAAACTATGGGAGAGCTGGCTCAGTGGTTAAGAACACTGTCTGCTCTTGCAGAGGACATGAGTTCAAATCCCAGCACCTACATGGCAGCTAACAACTGTAACTCCAGTTCTAGGGAATCTAACACCCTTTTCTGGTCTCTGCTGGCTTTGCATGACATGGGATGCACTTACATACATGTAGGCAAAACACTCATACATATAAAGTAAAAATAACTAAAAAATTAAAAAAAAACCGATTAAAGTGATTGAAAAATGATCTTGCCAGGTGTGGTGGCACATTCAACTCTAGTGCTCAGAAGGCTGAATCAGGAGGATCATGTGTTTGAGCCCAATGTGGGCTACATATGAGGTGTATGTCAACCTGAGCTACATAGTGAGAATTTACTAAAAAAAAATCACATTTCCAGACTGGAGAGATGGCTCAGCAGTTAAGAATGAGTACTGCTCTTGCAGAGGATCTGAGTTTGGTTACCAGCACCCATGTCAGGTGGCTCACAACTGCCTGTAACTCCAGCTCCAGGAGATCTGATGCCTCTAACCCTCATGGGCACCTTGCACTCATGTGCACATGCAAACACACTAAAACTAAAAATAGTAGAAGTGAATATTAAAAATATCATATTTCCTAAATGTAGGCACTGGCCAGGCTGGGAAGATGGTGTTGGGGGTAAAATTGTATGCCTTCAGCAGAGTAGAGGTCACCTGATACTTCCCATAGGACACTTGGGGGATGTTCTAGGTTCATCTCTGTTGCTGTGATCAAATATTCTGACAAAGAGAAACTTAGGGGAGAGAGGGTTTATTTCAGCTCACTTCAGCTCACAATTTCACGGCACAGCTGGTCACTGTGTGGGAACCAGGAGCTTGAGACAGCTGGTCACAGCATATCGAGAGAGAGAGAGAGAGAGAGAGAGAGAGAGAGAGAGAGAGAGAGGAGAGAGAAGAGAGAGAAGAGAGAAATGCATGCGTTCTCGCTCTCTTGGGCTCAGCTCCATTTCTCCACTCTTACAGGGCTCAGGCCTCCCTACCTAGGGGTCAGTGCCACCCACAGTGGGCCGGTTTTTCCCACAACAATGAACTTAATTAATTTAATCTGTCATAGACATGCTCATTGGCCAACTTGATTTGGACAATCCCTCATCGAGATTCTTCCCAGGCTATTCGAGGTTGGGTCAAATTGGCAATGAACACTAAGGGTCACAGGGGACCTTGAACTGCATGTTACCCTCCTGAGAACATGTCCCTCATCTCCACCAGATGGTGAATGGGTATTTCCCTCAGATGCTTATCATTCTCATTTTCTATTCACAGCTGGAAGCACCAAGTATTTCGGTACTGCCAAAGCCCGCTATGACTTCTGTGCCCGGGACCGATCAGAACTTTCTCTGAAGGAGGGTGACATCATCAAGATTCTCAACAAAAAGGGGCAGCAAGGCTGGTGGCGAGGGGAGATCTATGGCCGGGTGAGGCAGCTGGGCAGGGCAGGGTGTGTGGTGTGACCTGGCCATGCTGGGATGGCAGAATGGAGTGGGTGGAGCATGGCTGTCATGTGGGTCATTCCTAACCAGAATGCCCTGGTACATTTATCCAACTACACTTACTTATTGAGGACCTACTATGTATCAGGAATTTCTGGGTGCAAATGAGCATGGCACAATCACTATCTTTGTGAAACACATAGTTTAGTAAGGATGTATAGACCTCTGACCAGACAGTTAAACCAGGGCATGGTAAAGGTAGAAATGAGGCAGAGGACCGCAGGGAGCTCCACACTCAGCCTTCAAGCAGGCCAGGGTGCTTTCTGAAAAGCTAGTCTGATGGATGAAGAATAAAAAAGTCAGAGAAGTAAAATGACTATCAGCGGACTGGTGAGGTAGCTGTTAGTAAAGCGCTTGCTTCGTAAACATGAGGGCTTGAGTTTGATCCCCCAGAGCCCATCCATCCACCCATCCATCCACCCATCCATCCACCCATCCATCCATCCATCCATCCATCCATCCATCCATCCATCCAGCCCACAGATCCTATCAGTCTACCTACCCATCCATCTACTCCTTATCCATCAGTCTACCCACTTATCAATTCATCCATGTATCTATCTACTCATCTATCCATCCATCCATTCATTCATCCATCCATCCATCCACCCATCCATCCATCCATCCATCCATCCATCCATCCATCCATCCACCCATCCATCCAAGAAATACTAACAAAATATTTACTGTGTGCCACGACCTATTCTAGGCTCTTGGGAGTCTGTTGAGGAAGACACAGAACTCCCTGCCCTTGTAGACATTGTGTTGTACAAACGGAAGATGGTTCAGCAATTCTGTAAATAAGCAACATGTATAATCATTCAGATGATGACAAATTCTATGGAGAGAAAGCAGGAGAAAGGGAATAATGTGTATTGAGAGAGGGCTTACTCTTTTAAATAGGGTACTTTGGAAGGCTTTACTGACAAGGTGACATGTGAGTAGATTTTGAGGTGATGGGGTGGGGCATCCTTGTGTATGTGGGGCAGGAGGTCAGGCAGGTGCAAAGGCCCTGAGGCAGGAGGGAGCCAGCCTGCTGTGTGAGGAGTGCTATGGGGATGGGCAGAGACTTTCTGATAGATTCCTTTTCCCTCTCTAGATCGGCTGGTTCCCTGCCAACTATGTGGAAGAAGACTATTCTGAATACTGCTGAGTCTGGTGCCCTGCAGGGTAGACATATGGGCAGATGCAGGCTCTGAGCCCAGGATATCAGACAGCAGGGCCCAGTGGCCAGGAGAGGTCTTGGCGAGCAGAGTGTCTGGATGGACTGTGGATGGCCACTGGCCAGCTGGCAGGGTTCCTGGGACAATGCCTTGCAAGGGTTAATTTATAACACACTGATTGCCTCTTGGGGCCCCCCAAGAGAGGCAGGACTTGATGCAACTGCTTCTAATAAAATGTTGACAGTAAGCACTGGTGTGCTTAGGGAGATCTGGGAGGGGAGAAATGGGGACCGTGCATGGTGCATAGACCAGAATCCCCAAATGCTTTGCCTCCTGGTTGATCATCCTCTGCCATTTACAGAATTCTTACCTAGTAGGAAAGAAAGCTGTGCACAGGGTCTGGATTAGAGACTCTTTCCTTCCCTCATTTCTTTCCTTTCCTTTGTGCTGAGGATGGATCATACAGCATCCAGCATAATAGGCAGGGGCGACACCAGCCCCTCACTGGGGGATTCTAGGCTGTCACTCTACCCTGAGCCACACCCCACCCCTCTTTTTACTTTAGTTTTTTATTTTGAGTCAGGGTCTTGTTCTGTAGCCCAGGCTGGGCTTGGTCTTGTCGTTGTCCTGCTTTCTGAGCAGCTGAAATGACATGCCTCTGCCAGCATTCTTTTTTTTGGTCTTTTTGAGACAGGGTCTCCCTGTAACCCAGCTGTCCTGGAGCTCATTATGTAGACCAGGCTGGCCTCAAACTCACAGAGATCTGCCTGTCTCTGCATCTTGAGTGCTGGGATTAAAGGCGTGTGCCACCATGCCTGGCCCCATTATTTTAAAAAAAAATATTTTTATTTTATGTGTATGAGTACATTGCCTACATGTGTGAAAGTGCACCTGTGTTCTGCAATGCCCGTGAAGGTAACTGGATCATTTTTTTCTATAATAGAACTTAATAGTTGAGTCCCTTCTTGTCACCATTACATTGAGTAAGGGAAGTGATCAAGGTATGCTCAAGGTTCAGTATAAAGTCCACAACCCTGGTCCTGGAGACCTGGGGAGACCTCTGGCTTTCTTCTGTCATCTTGCCTCCTGTTGAAATGTCATTGCTTATGCTCGAATGCTTGACACATCCCTGGGATTCACTGGCCGGCCAGCCTAGTGGAATTGGTGAGCTCCAAGCTCAGAGAGAGACTCTGTCTCAAAAAATGAGATGGGTGTGTGGGGATGGAGGAGTAGGGGCTGGAGAGATGGCTCATGTTTAAGAGCACTGGCTGCTCTTGCAAAGGACTGCTTTCAGTTCTCAGCCCCACATGGGGCCTAAAAACCATCTACTACTCCAGTCTCAGGAGCTCCAATGCCCTCTCATGACCTTCACAGTCATTGCAGCGTGCTTGAAACAGGCAAAACACACATAAAATAAAATAATATAAATAAAAATGAAAAAAAAAGCACCTCAGGAATCATTTTGTGTCCATCCACCCAGCATGCGGCTGCAGACAACCATTCACTGTCCATAAATCTTCAGTTGGAGCGAGGCCTCAGGAACCCTCCCCCTAGCAACCATTAACTGTTTATCCTCAGGGAGGGTCGTGGGCTCATGAGCCTTTTCCTCTTAGCAACCATCAACTCTATAAAGCCTCAGGCAGGGCGGGACCTCACGATCCCCTCTCCCTAGCAACCATCAATGGTCTATCAATCTCACGTGGGGCGGGGCCTCGAGATCCCCTTCCCCTGGCAACCATCAACTGTCTGTCAACCTCACTAGCCCCTCCCCCTCAGCCCCCGCCACCTTCTTGTAGCCTCAGAGTGTTGGTCTTTCAACATACATTATTTATGGCGAGACTTTTTTATTGAATAGATTTTATTTTTAAAATTGTGGTAAAATACACACAATATTCAGTCTACCATCTGCTCCATTCTAGGCATTCGGCTCAGCTGTGTTCAGTCTGTTCAATGTCATGCGTCCATCACCACCACCCATCTTCCAGAACTTTCCTTTCTCACTATGGACAACCCAAACTCTGTCCCCATTAAACAGCTCTCCATGCCCTCTTCCCCAGGTCTTGGCAGCCCCTGTCTCTGGTCAGATTTTATCTGCAGTACTTTAGGGCTTAAATTTTTTATGCTGTCAGGTCGAGAGCCAGAGCGTCTGCATACACCTTTGTTGTTCAACAGGAAGTTGCTTTTTGGGTGGATTTCTTTCCATCTGCTGGGATAACCTTTACCAAGCAAAAATAAAAGACGGGCTTTTGCGAGTGCCTAGGGATAGGAAGAGACCACAGAATGTGCATTAATTTTGACAAAAACAATCAAATATCTCTAAATACTTAGGAAGGCGCCACCACATCGAACTTTTCCCATTGCTTGATCTAACAACCAGCTTTGTGGGCAGTAAAGGATAGTGGCCAAGTGTTCATGGAGACTTGAAGGTCATCTCAACCCCTGGAAAATGAGATGTAAGTTGGGGGTATGACCTACGTCTCTGAAACATAGAAACAGGAATATGCCCTTTTCAAAGCACAGCATTAAAATGTTTCTAGGGCCTGGGCCAGGGGGTGACTCCGGGTAAGAGTGCTTGCTGTGTAAGCACAAGGACCTGCGTTCAAGGCCCACAGAGAGGGCTTGGCTTTGTGTCCCTATCCAGTGTTGGGTGAGGGTGGGGGTGGGGGTGGGGGCAGAGACAAGGGGATCACTGGGGCTTACTGGCTGCCAGCCCAGCGCTGGATTTGAGAGGTGTGAGGAACTGCATACACACGGTGTATACACACGTGTACTTTACACACACACACACACACACACACACACACACACACACACACACACACAGGGGCTCTCCTCTTTCAACCTCCCTTTAGTGGCTGGCAGGGGCATTAGTTTTGTTCTCTGACTACAGGTAAACGGAGACTACAGGACTCCTGCATTCCCAGCTGAGGGCAGGATAAGTGCAGGAGTCTTTGTAGAGTGCTTGCCGTGTCTAAAGGGTCCATGACGAGGGTGAGAACAAGCAACAGCTTTCTCCCCTCTGGAAGCTACCACCCACCGTGGGAGAGGGTCGTCCCCCCTTAGTCCATCCTCCTGGAAATAGCCTCACAGACTTACCTGGAGGCACATCTCTTGGTTGATTCCAGTCAAGTTGGCACAAGGTTAACCTACACAAGGACAATGGTGAGGGTGTGCTGCCCTTTCCCATGACTCTCCCATTGGAAGGAGGGGCTGGGTCATGTGATAGTGGGGTCAAGGTTGTAGACTCTTCCTTAGAGTGACTCCAGCCATGCACGGAGTGCTCACTTTATGTTTAAGCCTCAGGCTAGTAGAAGCTTGTATTAGTTAGCTCAGGCTAAGTTTTGCTTCAGTAACAAATGGCCTTATAATTCAGCATCTTACAGACAGCTCCCTTGTGCTTGTATTAGCTCAGAGTAGGTGTTGCTGCTTGGTGTCCAGCTGGTGGTGCTGTTTGTGAAGGTGATGGAAACTTTAGATGGTGGGGCCACTCTGGGAGGAATTCAACTAAATTTACATTTAGAGGTTGTGAGCAATAGGATTTCAGTATGTGATTTTTTTGGGGTGGGAAAGGGATGCAGTTTAACCCACAACATACACGCAGACAGTATACAAAGGCCCTCATAAAATACCTATACATCTAACAGGCACAGATATAGTCATTAACAAAGAATGAAACACAGCCCCAAAGTAATATACTCGAACAGGTACATGCAGCAAATAGAGACCCACAGATATAAATATTCCCTCCCTGCATCCCACACATGTGGAAGCTGGATGCACAAGTGGGCACAGACCTAGACAGGCCAAAAATACTTGCCTGTATGGGCCAGGTAAACATAGGTGTGATGGTTAATGTCAACCTGATGAGATCTAGACTTGCCTGGGACACAGACCTCTGGGATTGTCATGAGGGAGTTTCTAGATTGGGTTAATGGAGGTGGAAAACCCACCATGAATGTGAGTGACACCATCCCCTGGGCCAGGGTCCCGGACTGAATAAGAAGGAGAAAGCGAGCTGAGCACCAGCATGCATTTCTCTGCTAACTGAATGTGGATGTGATGTGACAGCCACCTCATGCTCCTGCTGCTGTGACTTCCCCAACATGATAGACTGTATCCTCAAACCTTGAGCCCCCCATCAACATGATAGACTGTATCCTCGAACCTTGAGCCCCCCATCAACATGATAGACTGTATCCTCGAACCTTGAGCCCCCCATCAACATGATAGACTGTACCCTCGAACCTTGAGCCCCCTCCAAATGATAGACTCTATCCTTGAATCTTGAGCCCCCCTCCAACATGATAGACTGTATCCTCGAAACTTGAGCCCACACAAATGCTTCCTTCCATAAAATGCTTTTATCAGAGACAGTCATGGTGGCACATCTTTAATTCTGGCACTCCAGAGGCAGAGGTAGGCGGATCTCTGTGAGATCCAGATCAGCCTGGTCTACAAAGTGAGTTCCAGGCCGGCTGGGGCTACAGGGAGACCCTGTCTCAAACAAACAACCAACCAACCAAACAAACAAACAAACAAACAGACAAAGCAAAAGCAGTAAAAAAGCTTTTGTTTGTATTTTATCCCAGCAACAAGAAAAGAGATGACTGTGGGAGTCCACAGGAATACAGCGACACAGACACAAAGGCACTGCCCAACAGCAAGGACTTCAGACCAATATATGCATTCTCACCCTCCCACATCACCATCAGAAACAGACTGACAAAGTGAATAGTGGGCTGTGGAGACGCTCAGTCAGTGAAGTGCTTGCTATGCAGGCCTGAGTATCAGAGCCCACATACAAAAGCCAGGTGTGGTGACACCTGCTTATAATCCCAGTCTGGGGAGGCAGAGACAGGAGGATCCCTAGGGCTCGCTGGCCAGCCAGCCTAGAAGGAATGGAGAACTCTAGGTTCAGTGAGAGACTGTGCTTCAAAAAACAAGGTGGGTGTGGAGAACACTTAAAAAACTGAAAATGAACCTACCATATGACCCAGTTATATTGCTCCTTGGCATATACTCAAAGGACTCATCCTATTGTAGAGACACTTGTACAACTATGTTTGTTGCTGCTCTTTTCACAATAGCTAAGAGATGGAAGCAACCTAAGTGCCCCTCAACTGACGAGTGGTTAACAAAAATGTGGTATATTTACACAATGGCATTCTATTCAGCAGTAAAGATGAAATAATGAAATTTGCAGGTAAATGGATGAATCTAGAAACTATTATACTAAGTGAAGTAATACAGACTCAGAAAAATGAACAACGTATGTTCTTGCTCATATGTGGTTCCTAGCACCAAATCCTTTTAAATTCCAGGTCCTTTTAATAAGATGATGCTATACAGCAGTCCCTTATGAATGAAATAACCACCATCATCACGACTTCAGCTGAGCCTGATCGCTAAACATCCTCACAATTGGGCTTGTTGATGGTTGTGTTCATTCATTAAAGGAGGGCCAAGCAGGGTCAATGGACCCTCGCCACATTATCCAGCCACTCTTCCCAGCCAACTGTATGTAATTTGACCCTAATCACACATAGCCTTCTGGATTTGGGAAGGGCTAAAGTATACAATCTGGGGAAGGCTAGGAAGAGGAGACATGACCCGTGCTGGGTAAAGGCTTTCCAGTGTGCACACCCTCAGGTCATACATACACCTCAGCAACCCCTCAGTTATCTGGTAAGTAAGCTCAATAAATTCATTTGTT